AATTCCTACTAAAAATGTCTCGTTTTTGCTTATATTTGATATCAGTGTTACTATTTGTGTCAAATAATCACAAATTATGTTCATCGGGACCCGTAAAACATTTACAATTTAAGGACAAAATCGAGGTTCAAATTGAGTGGCTTTTGGATGAGTTAATCAACACATTGTCAAAGTTTGCTTCGGAGGTGGAAACGGATCCAACGATTCTGGAGAGCCGTGCCTTTCGTTCAGCGTTAGTGCGAGTTGTGGTCAGAATGACAGATGTCATCGAAACCATCGAAATGAAGCCTAAGATCTCGTCACAAATGAGCGCATCTATCCATCGATTAGATTCAGTGAGAATCAGATTAAATAATTTTGTGTCCAATTATATGAACGAACCCAACGATTATAAGGCATCGACTAAAACAGTCAAAATCACCACAACTGGTACTTCTAATACAGACACACCTATCCTGGATATCAATCAAATTATGGCTATTTTGACAGAAATTATGGATAAGATTCAGACAATTAATGCAAATTCTCTAAACTAAATATAGTTATCATTTCGTTAAAAGTTCTTTATGTTAATTCATATAATTATTGTTTTGTAGATTTATTAATATATGTCACATAAAGTATTGTATTTTCAGATTATTAGAATTTATCCCGAGTATAACTAAAACTATAATTTTTGTGCAAATGACCCAGTTAGTAATTTAACATTCAAATAATTTGAATCAAATTATTTCCAATAAAAGTAATTGAGTCCCGAACAATCTCTCTTTACTATTACGGTATGTATGATAATGTGATTTTATTCATTAATTTTAAGGCTATTAATAATAACTTATTAACATTTAAATACCCGAATTGATGTCATAAGTAAATTTAAATTATATTCAATAAATTAATACTTTTGAAAAATAATAAAAATTAATAAAAAAATATTATAATAAAGTTTGTTAAATTTAATTTATGACTACTATTAAAAATATACCTTTATAAAATATAAGGCTCTCTCTCTCACACACACACACTCACTCACTCACCAGTAGTGAAATGTATTATTAAATTGCATTAAAACTTCAATTAATTACTTTTATTCTTATAAAAACTTTTGTATAAATCAAAACTTGTGATTCAAAAGTAATCACTCAAAAAGTAGTGATTGAATGGTTGCACGTAATTGATGGTCACTAATGTAAATCCAATGCATGACATGATAGCATGGATTTCATCACCAATAATGCAATGCAGACAAAGTGGTGAAGAAGTGGTGATCAGAGCCTATACTTGTCCTCCAACTGCACCAATCGTTCACTCAATTGCCACAACTTGTGTCCAGTCATCTCATCCATCGCTTCCCGTAAAAGACACTCTATTTTGATGCAATTACTGCCAAAACAAACCATTCATTTATTACAGACTCTGTAACAGGTTTGACATCACCGGCCAAGACATAGACATAACCGATACAGACCTGTAGTAAAAGCCCGTCTCATGCCTTAAGTCCGGATCGAGAGCGCAGTGAAGAGTGGTTTGGACGCCGAGTGTGACATCAATGTTGAAGAGTAAGCCAATTGTCTTGTAGACCATTGCTGTCACACCTGTCAAGTGGCGGAACAGATCCGACCGAATAGTTCCCGGATGTAAGACATAGGCCTTAATGTTGTGATTGTCTGTCCTTTGGGCCAACCGTTGGGCCAATTGTCTCGTGAAATGAATGTTTGCGAGTTTGCTCTGACAGTAGGCCTCCAGAGGCGAGTAATTGTCCTCCAGATTGATGTCCCAGAAGTAGATCTGACCCCTCATTGCATGCATTGATGAGACGGTTATTATGCGCGCGTCCGACGATGTCTTCATGTTATCGACCAGTAATAGTGTTAACAGAAAGTGACCTAAAATTAGAGTTAAATTAATGTCTTGTAATGGTTTGGTGGCTATAATGAAGACCCAAATGATTGGTTCCGAATTGCATTTCGAAGCCCTCATGAGTGGTGGCCTTCGGACACATCATAACACCCGCGTTATTAATCAGTATATCAATTGTGGGCTCTCTTTGTGTCAATTGTTTGGCAAATTTCCTCACAGATGAAAGAGACGACAGATTCACTTCCATTACTTCGAGCTCTGCCCTCGAGTTCTTTGCCTTTATATCTCTGGCGGCGGTCAGACCTTTGGTCACATCCCGACAGCACATTATTATCTGTTTTATATGACATACAAGTGAACAGACATTGAATTTTTGACCCAAATATGTGACAAACCTTTGCGCCCCTCAGAGACAACTGATAAGCGGTCTCTTTGCCGATCCCAGTGTTGGCGCCCGTAATGACCACTACTTTGCCGTCCAGTCTATTGTTCTTCAGGTATCGATTGCGACCCATATTTACAAACCTCAAGAGATTTTGCGTAAACTCTTTGACAAACATTAAAGTCATTACTATTTCCACATAAATCCTTCTGAAACTCATTTTTCTAAATCAATTCACTTCGAAATCTTTTAAATT